GAGAGACGTGTGGATGGAGAATGGGATGCAATTCACTTTCCCCATGGCCAACCTGCTGTCCTTTTTGCCAGCTTCTTCCTCCTTCAGCATAACCAACCCTTGTCAAACAGCAGTGCTGGGATTTAGGATGTGTGTGTGAACGGATGGCTCTGGCCACCAGCTGCTGGTTTCAAAGAGCAGCACTACTTTGCTTTCCATCATGGTGTCATGTTGGGTGTCAGACCTGCACTCACTCCTTTTTTGGGGACAGTTATTAAAAGGACCCTTGGAATTTCATCACCTTGGCCATGGAGAAAGCTTTGAGACAGAAGAAAGCTCACACGAGCACACAGTCCAGCCGTCTGCACCCATGACCATGCTGCCAGTTCCTAAAATCCCACAGCAGATGTGACTTCTGCAGCACTTAGCTTCCATCAGGTTAGTAGGTTTCCTTCAAAGCCAACCTAAGTTTGTTTTGCTGTCAATTATCACATTCCTACCATGGTCTTCTTCCCTCTAGGCTGAGGAGTCTCTGCCCCACCAGTCTTTCCTCACAAGCCAATCTCTTATCACCCTCACTCTTCTGTGAGATTTTTCTGTGCTTGCTCAGCGTTTCATTGCCCTTTCTCACCGTGTTGGTGCTGTTTCAAAATGTTATGTCTCGTATCTACGGTTGGATCCTTCAGATGAAACCAAGATGAAGTGAGAAAGAGTAAAGATGACTGAATAAAGGCCTTCTCTTTTCCAGGGCTGACCTAATCCACTCTCTCCCTTCTTTCACCTGGTCATCCTGGACCAGAGCTGTAGAATTCAGTTCAAGAGGCATTTAGACAGAGAGAGATACATACTTAATCTGAAACACAAGATAGTGATTGTGTCTGCTGACTGCCTGAAAAGGCACCATTGGTTTCTTGCCCAAGCATGCGGTGCCTTCCCCAGAGAAACAAAGACCTGTCTCATTGCTTGGATCTTCCGTTCCTTGAAACCGAATGAAAATCTCAGTCCAGCAGAGGCTGTCCTGACATAATGATTTGGAACAAAAGATAATCACCTATTGTTATGCTGCAGAACTCCTTGACCAGTTGGGATTTACTCCAAGAGCCAATTGGACATGATGAATAGCGGTAATTTCAGAGCTATGCGTATTCACAGGGTTTGCAGTTTTCCACATCTACTGCATGATGGAGGGGGGGTGGGATGGGGGAAAGGGTTTCAATCAGCTCCGAGTCAGCAGCCTGGACTCTATCCTGCAGCGTCCAGCCGGTGAGGTGTTTGTAAAGTAACGACTCATGTCTGCAGCAAATATGCCCATTTTCCAAAACGCTAATTCATTTCTCTGTCCAAAATGCTAACGCGTAGAGTCTTTCCTAAAGAAGTTGGAAAGCAGGTGTCTGCTTTCATCTGAACTGAAAGACTTCTGCATAATCTTCCCTACAGGACTTTTTCCTTTGGAGAAGTTTTCTGTGCCAGTGGCACCCTTTGCCATGGATGGGGTTGGAATGAGATGGACTTTAAGGTCCTTTCCAACCTGTTCTATGATTCTGTGATTCTTTACTGTTATTTCTCTTCTTGTAGAGCTAATAGACTGGGACACCCATCTGCACCCACGTCCCTTAGTGCAATCTCCCTGTAGTGACGTGCTCAGGACATTGCCCCATCCTTACAAAAGAAATTCCCCTGATGAGTTGGACACCGAATCCCACTGTCACCTTATCGTATTCAGGAAGACTGGAGCCAGGGATGTGAGAATTAATGTAAAAGTGCCCTCTCGTGGCAAATGGAGCTGTTATCATTAGTCATCATTTTGGGGAAATCCTTCATGTCACTGGGGTTGTGATTTATAGAATCATGGAATCGTAGAATCGTTTGAGTTGGAAGCGGACCCTTAAAGGACATCTGGTCCAACCTCCTGCAATGGACAGGGACACCCACAGCTCTATCAGGTGCTCAGTGCCCACTCAGCCTGACTGTGGGTGTCTCCAGGGATGGGGCACCACCACCGTCTGGGCAGCCTGTGCCAGTGCCTCATCACCCTTACCATAAAAAACTTCTTTCTTAAATCCAGTCTTACTTGTGCTTTGCAGCCTGGATGCATTCAGTGGAAGGATGGTGTCACCGTGAGGTCTTCAAGCTCTGCACAGCTTACCAAATGATCCCTCAAGCACCCGGATTGCAGGGTGGGCTTCACAGGTGGGAGCTGGCAGTGGGTGGGCTTAGGGAGGAAGAAGTGTCTTTGGGGGTCCAGAGTGAGCCAGGAAGGGACTTGGGCTTGCAGCAAGATGATGGGTGTAAGCCTGGCCCTCAGGATTATGCATCCCACTGCAATTTGGAGTTTCCTTTGCTTCAGGTAGATCTGCTGGGTATGAAGTGTTCTCAGCTGCAGAGCTTGAGCAACCCTTGTGCCTGAAGCCACGAGCCTGCTTAAAACAACACTCCCTCTAGAAGAGATGATTTAGTAGCAAAAACTCAGTAAAGCAGTCTGGGGCTTTTGTTATGCCTGCTCTGAGGGCTGTGATGCTGTGCTCTCTCTGTATGAGCTGCTCCTGCACATTGTCTGGAGCAGTCACCCATTAAGTACCTAATTAATCAGGAGGCTGGGTAGAGTCTAACCACACGAGCTGTGAAAGGGGAGTTTTATGGACCGTTTTCCTTCATCTCCTTTTTGTTTTAGGAAGGGACGTAGTATTTTCTTTGCACTAATGATTACTTTGGAGTACCGGTGATGTCCTCCCTCTTCCAGCTTTCTCTACCTCTTCCCTTGCTCCATGGAAGAGAGATTTATGGCTGGACTGGATAGTTCTTTGAAGGAAATCACCATGGGAAGAAGACAGAAAGCAGAGTAGGAGTGGGATTCATATCCTGTAGTCCAGCTCAGGCATAGGAGTTAGGCAGGCAGGTGAATGCTGCCTTGGGATAACTGCTGCTCCAGGGATCAGTGCGTCCCAGGTGGAAGAGTTGCTACCCTCAGTTACTTGGCTTTGCCATGCAACACCAAAGCCTCAGTGGCTCATCTTCATTTCCAGTGTATGTTGGTGAGTAGAGATGGGGTCTTCGGTGCTCACGTGATGCTGCATCTTCCCAACTGAGGACCCTCCTGTGGCTGGGGAGGATGAATAAGAGAGGATGCTGCTGTGGGGAACTGCAGATCAGAGGCACTGCGGAAGCAAGGGGAGTATTTGAGGTTGGTCATTCAGGACAGGAATTACATCATGGTCACCTGCTCATATGGCATGGTGCTTGTTTGAGGAAGGATCGTCTTTTAAATCATGTAGATTTACAGCATCTCACACTTGACACACTTGACCAAGCTGACCAAGCTAGTAACAGCCATAGCATTTTGCAGGCATTTTGCTGGATGGAGAGAAGAAGCATTGCAACTGTGTGCCATGCTGATGCAGACAAAAATACAAAGTCCTGAGAACTGTTATTGCTTCTACGCACGAGCACTAGAAGGGAGGAATCAGAAAGGACATGAAGTGCCCAGGTGAAGAAGCAACGGGAGGAAATGCCAGCACACCAGAGCCTGGGCTGGTCAAAGACATGTCTACCTGCCCCCAGCACAGCTTGGTGTTCATGAGATTATCCAACAATGTACAGCTTTGATGCTCAGTTTTTCAGATCCTGGCCTTCAATTTAGAACCACAGAATCATAGAACCGTTAAGATTGGAAAAGACCACTGAGATCATCACGTCCAACCAATTTGTTATGACTGTAGCAACCACTGAGCTGCTCTTCTTGCCCAGCAACTGGTGGTGGTTTGGTTTGGAGCAGGAGGTTGGTCTAGAGACCTTCCCACCAGCCAGCACTGCTGTGGTTGAACGATGCTCACATAATCCCACTATTCTTGGAGTAAGTGGGTTTGGTCTCAGGAGGCCTCGTGCAGCTCATTGCACCCTGTGGTTCCTTCAGGACAAAAGGGGTTTCTCCTCCCATAGGCGCTGATCTCCATGTTTGCCTCATGGTGCTACTGAAGCAGTCATGATTGATAATAGCACTATGTTGGGGGGCCACTTTATCAGGAAACACCATGAAGGGAATTATAATCACCATTTAAAGGCATTTTCCCCCTTCCTCTGGTGGGTTATCAGATTACAGGAAATGAGAGCAGTTTTGCTGCCTTATTATGAGAGATGGATGCTACTGTTCAGAGCGTTTGCCCATCCATCTACTTCCCCGCTACCCTTTCTCATCAGGGGATGCACTGTTCATTTCCACATCAATGAAACAGTGAGAAAGCTTCCCAAAGCCTTCTGGCTTACTTTGCTTCCTCATTTCTGGTGGATTTCTCTCTGCTTTGCAATGTCCCAGTATTTATCCTGCTGCTTCACCCAGCTTTCCCCTCCCAGCAGCAGGCCTGCTTGCACCGAAAGATGGATCTCTGTTTTCTTAAATGCTCAGGCAATTAAACTCATTCCTCAGGTGGTCCCGGAGGGGAGCTCTCCAGCCAGCCTTGCCTTCTCCTACAAATCCTTTTTCAATATGCCAAGTGCCTGTGGCTGACCCCTCTTCAACCTGAGCTGCGGAGCTACTGCTCCCCAGTCTCCTTCATGCCACTGTTCAGCTGCCCAGGGAGGTGATGAGGTCACCGTCCCTGGAGGGGTTTGAGAACCATGGAGATGTGGCACTGAGGTATGAGGACAGTGGGCATGGTGATGGGTTGGGGTTGGACTTGGGGGTTTGAGTGGCCTTTTCTAACCTCGATTCTGTGATTCTAAGATCTCTGGAGCATTCCAAATGGGCTCCAGCAGGGTTTGCAGCCCTCTCCCTTGCTTGCTCCATCCCTCCCTTGGGTGAAGTAGAACCCCCAGTTCAATCCTAGGTGGACACAACCTCTTGTGTCTACCTTAGAAGCATGCACTACAGAGCACCAAGAGGACCTCAGATAAAAAATGGTCCTCAGATAAGTCATGACCCAGTGCCATCTCTCCAAGTCCTGACCTTGTTGTGGCCAGTTTTTGTGCTTTGACTGCTCTCTCATTCACCATCCGAGAAGTGAGACTCAACCATTTTGCTCTCCTAGGTCCCCGGGGAGTCTCAACAGAAAGAAGACGCTTTGGTTTCTCCTCATCCATAAAATCCTGCCCACCCTCCCTGGTGTGCGATCAGCACAGCTCTGCTACAACTTGGGGATCCTAATGCTGCCAGATACACACATGGAGATTTACCCTGGACTACCAGTAGCAATCTTCTTCGTCTGAATCCAAGCTCTGCTCTCAGCATGCAAATGCCTTGGCTGGGACTCTGCAGTCCTTATGGCTGATATCATCCCTATTTGCATCGCTGTTTATTTTAATTTACCCAAGAGCCACAACTATCCTCACAGCCCGTTTCTCCTTGCACTCGCTTAATCCTCATCACGGCCATCACCTTCACAAGGATTCCTTTTTGAAGGGCCTTCCGAGTTGAAGTCATCTGGCTTGCTTTTCACTTGGCTCCCAAGGAAAGCACAATTTACATGATCACATTCAGCACATGCCTGTGTCTGTCTGTTTATCTCTTCAAAAACCATGGAGGCTGCTGAGCACAGAGTACGAATTTCTAATAGGTTTTGTGAACCCAAGCGAGCTAGCAAAAGACAAAAATCCCACCAGTGTTTAATGGAAGAATGCACTGAGGGGTGAGCACAAACCTTGCTAGCATCAGAAAAGCCAATTATGGGGAACGTGGTTATTGGGGACCAGGGTCTTTCAGCTGTACTCTGGTGGGAATGGCTTGCAGGGTTTATGCAACTTGCTGTTCAAGCATTACAGCATCTCAGAGATGTGACCAATTAACCCTGAAGTAAACTGAGGCAGGACATGGATGTTGTAAGGGTAAGCAGCACAGACGTCTCCTGGTGTTTTCCCTCTATGCTTTATATCTAGGAAGGCCGGTGTGAAGTCACTAGGCAGGTTTTTTAGATTATTATTATTACAAGGCTGGCTGCCGTGGCAGACATAAAAGAGATATCATGTTCATTGCTCATTCCTCAGGCTGCAATGCACATGTTTGAGAGCGAGCAGATCCTGCCGACAAGGAATTTCCAGTCCTGTTAGATTGATAAATGGGTGCTTCCCCACAGAGCCTGCTGTTACGTGTTTCGGCTCTGCCTGCAGTCAGTGCCAGGATGCTTCCCACCAGCACGGCAGGAGGGAGCTTTGCTGGGGCATCTTGGTGGCTTTCCAGGAGGTGACATGGCTTTGTGTGTATCTCAGGGTCTGGAACACAGATCTTATGGGGAGCAGCTGAGGGAACTGGGATGGGTCAGTCTGGAGAGGAGGATGCTCAAGGGGGGACCTTGTGGCTCTCTACAACTGCTTGAAGGCTGGGGCGAGGTGGGGGTTGGCCTCTGCTCCCAGGTAGCAGCGACAGGATGAAAGGCAATGGCTTCAAGCTGTGCCAGGCGTGGGTCAGGGTGGGTATTAGGAAGCATTTCTCCTTTGGAAGAATGGTGTTGCATTGGCACAGGCTGCTCAGGGAGGTGGTGGAGTCATCATCCCTGGAGGTGTTTCAGGTGCATGGAGATGTGGCACTGAGGGACGTGGCTGAGGGCTGAGCAGTGCCTACGTGCCCTGACACTTGTTTGTCTACGCTGCCATCCATTCTGATGCTGGTGGGTTTTCACACCTCCAGAAGCAAAACTGACTGAAATTCAGCCCCATGCACAAACTCTTTTAATTGCTCATGCTGATTAGAGTGCATTAACCAAGGGTGGATGTAGTGCTAGCCAGCTGCAAAAGAAAAAGCAATGCCCTTCTGTTGGAAGGATGGACATTTCTGATTTGCAAGCAGTGAGAAAGTATAAGGTTAAAACACTCAGCAGCAGCTCTATGGCAATGGCAGATGTAGGAAAAACTTTGGTTGTGTACGTGGCCATTTTTCAGCTCAATATAAGGAATAACTCAGATCTCTCACATCTTAGGAGCAACAAAATCATGGTCACCCAATGGGAACACCCAACAAGTGAGGAGGTTTCTGATGCTTTTTTCCACGTGGAGGATGCCAGCCGTGCTGCTAATCTGCTCTTCAGAAGGCACTAATATCTCTTTATATAAGCAAAACTCCACCAGCAGGATGATCAATTCAATCTTTCCATCTACCTATCTACCTGTGGGTTTTTTTTTTTCCCAAGATTTCCCCTTGTTTTTTTTATCCTATCTCATCTGCTCCCGTTTTTCCTCCAGCTGATGGAGATATGGGCTAAGGGAAGGCAGAGAAATAGAGCTTTGGGGGCACAAACCGCGCACAAAGGCAGACCTGGGGATAGCAGCTCTTTTTGATTGATTTTTCACACCAGTCTTGGAAGCAGGATATCGATGAATTTTTGCTACGAACAAGCAGAAAAGAAGTTTTAATTTGTGTCCCCTAATTTTCCTCCTGTGTGAGTTCTTATCTCCCAACCACCAACGGCAAGGTATGGGGACGTTTCTTCTGGTAGATCAGCAGACAGTGTATTTGCAGAGCGAATAGAAGAGTTAAAAATACTGAGAAATAGGAGAGAGGAAGCCAAAATCCTTGGAATAAAGATATGTGAAAACCCA